TGAACATGATGGAGACACTACAACCTCTCTGGGCAGCCTGTCCCAGGGCTCTGTCACCCTCACAGTAAAGAAGTTTTTCCTTAAGTTTGTCTGGAACTTCCGGTGCTCCAGTTTTTTTGCCCATTGCCTCTTGTCCTGTCACTGGGCACCGAAAAGTGCCCGGCCCCATCCATTTGGCCCCCACACTTTCAGGTATTTATAGACATGGATAAAGATCCATAAGATGTATGGAGACTTTGTGTTGACTTGACTTCACTTCTTATTTTGGACCACTATGTTGAAAGGGCTGAACAGAGGACTCTAGAGCTGGAAATTCCATAGTATTTCTGTGCTCTGAGACTCCATGGCTACAGAGGGTCAGACCCAAAGACCAGTTAGCCAGGTGTCCCATGACCAGTTGCATAGGGAGAGTGTAAATATGGAGCAGGAACGTGTAACTCCAACACACTTCACTGCTCTCCTGGAGCCTGGTTGTCTACAGCGTGGACATTTCTTGAGCCAGAGATGGTGTCTCTGTATTTAATAGCCCTCAGGGTTCTTCACCATTCATGGCCCCATCTGTAACAGGGATTGTTTAAAATTAAAAGTGCGAGGGCTGGGTTTGGTAGGATACAGCGTGTTTGGCCTCCGAGCAAATGCAAATTGTCATTTCACATGGAAAGAGACGGGGCTGGGCTTGGGAGGTGTTAACTTGGATGATGCTCAGCAATCTGAGGAATAAAAAAAAAAAGTTTCAGTTCCTGTCTTGCTCCTTGGGCTTTTCTGAAAATCCTACATAATGCTCTTGTGTATCTTCATGAACATAAGAAGCCATAAAACTAGGTCCTTTGGGTCTACCACAAAACCCTTTGCTCTCAGTAGAGCCTTTTTGGTGGTTTCTGTAGCATCTGGAGAGCCTGGCCGAGCACAAGGGCTCTATGTCCCCATTAACCTTAATGTGGCATCATCTTGGGTTTTGAAAATCTCAGGATTTCAACATTGTTTCTGCCCAAAATGGCTGTATTTAAGTGAGAGCTGAGCTAAAACCTCTCTCTACAGCTTGAAAAATAACTATTAGAAGGGGTTTATTTTCCAGGAATGATGAGGTTTTTCTATCTGATTTTGTTTTTCTTCCCCCTTTGAGATGACTGTGTTAAAACATCTCTGCTCAATGTACCTGTGGATGCCTGCTGCTAAGCCTCTCCTGGGAAGGGTGGGCAAGAGGTGGGCTTGTCTATGCAATATTTACCCCAAAACTGAGTTTGGGAGTTATGTTGTTTATGTGAAAGGTTTAAAAGTTCCCTGGACAATTTGGACAAGAGGTTTATTCCTTAGAAACCTTCCAAAAATCTCATGGAGGATGTGCTGTGTGTTCCTGTGGGGGCTTCTCGTGGCTTTGCTCTGTCCTTTTGCTCCTCCTGTGGATGTGTGCAGGGATTGGATGGGGAAAGGGAGATGCAAGCAGTGTCCTGAGGAAGGAAATATCTAACTACTTCTCCCTGGATAGATAAGTGGGAAAGCTAAAAGACAATAGCAATGACTACTGACATGGTCTGGATACATTGTTTTTGCATCATATAAATCTGAGAGATTTATCTGTGTTTTGCAGGCTGAGGAATACATCAGTATTCATTTTAGCCTCTGGGAAAAAAAAATAAATAAATCTAATATTTAGTCTCGAGAGAAATGCTGGGATATATCCCCCGTGGGGTTTACTGGAATCATGCTCTTTATTCTGCAGAAAGCCCTGCAGTAGGGGAATCCTCTGTACCCCAACTGCTTTGAATGTCCTATTGTGCAGTAAACTAATGAGAAGATACTTGTTTCCCTATGTCTGTTTACTGCTCACCAAGCTCCAGTGTTATCCAGAACGTTAAAACAACTACTGTTGGCTCCCTAGATTAGTTCATCAATTAATTATCAGTAAAGAAGAGTTGTTATATGTTGTTACAGGCTTTAAAACTCATTTTTCCCACTGTGCTTTCATCTTAAATTCTTGCTCTTTCCTTCTCTGCCTCCCACTTTACCTGACTAGATGGTTTTTCCCCGGCTCAATCATGGATTTCTGGCTAACGATCCGCTTGTCTTTAGCCGACGAGTGCTCAAGGTAGATGTATCAGATCTGCTGCCACTGGTTTGCTGTGATTCTTCGGGTTGCTTTTGTTTCTTGTTTCTGGCTGAAAGTGCACTATTGCTATTTTAAATTGTCGTTACCATGGCTACCTTCAGAGGTGCTTGTTGGGAGCACGCTTGAGTGAAACCCCGTTGGAATTTAGGGGGAGTTTGGTCAAAGTAAAGCGGCATAAAAGTGATGGGTTTTAGCATTTGGTCCTTTGAGAATTAGGAATCAAGCAGCAAAGTCCTATAGATGTTCATATGAACAGTGCTGGTACTGTAAAAGAAAATGCATTAAAACTAGAGTGTTTAAATCCTCGTCCTCTAAACGTGACGTTTTAATTAGGCAAAATTTAGTGGGAGACTCTTGGCATAATTGGATGCAGTGTTCAGCATTTGCAATAGGATTTCTTTTTTTTTTTAAACTATGCAAGTGATTTAGGAGCACAGATCTTGTTGAAAGGCCGTGGGATTTGTGCTGCTAAGTCACTTAAGGACTTCTGAAAATCCCACACTTGTCCCTGATTTGAGGGTGGACCACATATTAAATACAGTCCTCTTACTGCCTCAGTGGTAACCCTTCCAGATGTTGCTAAAAGATTTACGAGATGGCCTTTCCATGAGGTTTTCCATTGTGCAGCCTCATGGATTTGCCTGGCTACAGCCCCGGGGTTGGGCTGCGGTGGCCGGCGGTGGGTCAGGAGCCGATAACTGGGTGCTCCTCTCCAGAGTGGGCACCTACCAAACCTCCACAGTCACATGGAGAAAGAGCTGCTGCTTGTTTCTTTGCACCCAAGCAGTGCAGGGGGTGAGCTATGCTGGGTGTTAATAGATGACCTTGGCTGTATTTAAGGATGATACCAAGTGCTACTTTATTTTTTTGCCTTTTTTTGGTGGATTTTTTGGTTTTTTTAGTGTGGTCTACTAAGGTGTGGAAGTGTGTGTGCATGCTCCATGCCAGCATGTTGTTGGGTCTGGGTTATTTCGGGGTGCTGCTGAATTGGTAGTTTCCCTGCAGACAGTTGTTGGGTAAGGGTTTCATGAGGTGAAACTTTGTTGGAAGGCATTGAGCAAAATCATGGTTAAAGAACCAGACCCAAAGGGCATGAAGCATCCATGAGCTCCCAGCCTTCCCAACTGGCTGCTGTAATTAAATTCATCCAGGATAGCGGAGGCCGGGGTGCTGATGGCCCCAGGGATGCAGTGTGTGTGTGTCATGGGCACCCCACGGCCAATGCCACTTCATCTCACCATGTCTGTGTGAACTTCTTCCAGGGTGATCAAGGTCGAGATGGAGCCACTGGCCCCCCTGGTCCTCCAGGACCCCCAGGTGCCCGAGGGCCTCCTGGTGACACGGGAAAAGATGGCCCAAGAGGACCTCCAGGCCCCCCTGTAAGGACGGGAGATGCGCAGCGAGCACATGCCGGGCCGTCCCCAGCCCAGCGAGGGAGAGGAGGGTGAAGGGCGTCCCCTTCACCGGTGCTGTCACCCCAACCACTGAGTCCCCAGCCTGGGCCAGCGGTTGGGCTCTGATGGCCACTCATACACCAAAGCTTTGGGGCAGTGGGCCGAGGGAACAGGAGGGGACCTTCCATCTTGAGTTTTGGAGCAAAGAGCTGGACCTGTTTGCGGGTGCTGGTTGTTAACTCGGAGAGCCTGGAGGAGATACCTTCCATGATCTGAAGCCTTCAGTTGACCTGTTGCAAATCTCCAGATCACTGGCAATTCATGTAATAAAAAAAGAGGCTGCAGCACGATGCCACTGAACATCCTAATTATCACTGAGCACTTTAGAGAATGAGGGATAATAGTTTCAATGTTGGCCTTTTTATTTTTGCAGGGTTTCAAAGGCGAACCAGGAGAGGATGGCCTCATGGTTAGTATTGCCCAGCAGCATCTGTGTATACATATCCCTCACCTCCCTCGCTTTACATCATCCTTTAAGCTCCCTGCACCAAGTGATTTTGCATCATTGCTTAAGGAGGCCAAAAAAAAAAAACCCATGGGAAATTGTAGCTGCCCTAAAATGGGTGTTTATCTAGGGGTACCTATGCCAGTGGGGAGAAAAGAGCATCTTCTGGAGAGGTGTGCTGCTCCTGTATCCCCCCTTCTGTTCCTCTGAAGCCTCCTGACGTTGTAACTCCAATTCCCTAAGGTCTAGGTTGGATAAAAAGGTGCTTGTTATACATAAAATACACAAGCTATTAAAAAAAAGAAAAGAGTATTATTTACTGGGAGTACAGAAAATTTACCAGTGTATTTGTGAGGGAAGATGAGGGACTGGTATCTACATCATTTTTTTTTTTCATGGGAATTAAAATACCCTTGGAAATGTTTTTATCCTCTATTGTCAAACAAGTTATACCAGCTACTTTTACATTCAACAGGGTGCCAGGGGACCTCCAGGACCAAAGGTGGGTAATAAGTAATTTCTTATCCAAGTTTAATAGAAATTATTGAAACATTGCAGTATAAGGGGGGGTGGAGATGAATGTGTGTTTTGCACTGGACTCCCACTCATCTATAGGGATCAGATACTAAATTTCTAAGGTATCACCTTAGAATTAACCATTGACTTGGAGCTGCAAATGTCTGAATGTGTTGCCTACTCAAAAAGCACAACCACTGCCCATGTTGAAACCTTTTAACGGGGATGGAGGGAGTCATAGGTCAGCCATGCTGTGCTGTAGGATTGTGCTTTCTTGCTTTTTTGAGGGGGATAAAGATGATCAACACAAGCCAAGTGTTTTAACTTTACAATTAATGTTGAGTATTCATGCGATTGGTCTTATTTTCTGTTATGTCTCTAAACTTCTTTCTCTTCTGTGTTTGTTTTTGAAGGGTGAGCCTGGCATCCAAGGAAAAAAGGTAAAATGGTGATTTTTTTTAAAAAAAAATTATTTTTATTTTTATTTTTTTGCTTTACTTGGCACTCAACTAGAGAAACCATTGCCAGAGACCGATGGAGATGCCGTGGTCATGGCTGTCCATACCGAGACATTCCTTGTGTTCCCTGGGGTTTCTCACCCATGGGACCCCGAAGCACGGGCACGGCGGTGCCTGCAGCCTGGTTTTCATTACAACAAGCGAGGCAGAAGCTGCAATCACATCTGCCCAATAGACAAAGAATAAAATAGCAAATGCCAAACAAAGCAGTAGGTCTTGAGCCCTTCCGCTCCAGTAATTCAAGCGGAACCAAGAAGCGCCTGGAGGCTGTTGTCTACCCAGGGCCCCCCGGGATGGGTTTGTGGTTCCTGGGATGGGCACCACCATGCAGCACCCAGGTCTCCAGGGGGTTGCCTGCTCTCTTAAGGACAGGCATGCAGCTTGGGTTGGGTGTTGAAGACTGTGGAGGTTTCACATGTCTGAGCTCTCCACATTTTCTTTTGACGGTGCCATCAAGTAGTGGATAAATCTCTGCCTTTAGCTGAAGCCAAAGCACTGGCAGGGCCCCAGCCTTTCCCTCTTACTGCTCTGCCCCAAAGCAGACATGGCCATGGGTGTTTTTCAGGCCAGAATTTGGCTTTAAAATCTCATAACTGGCCAGTAAAAGTAACCTTTTCAGCACCTACAAAGTGATTTTACTCCAAGAGAACAATGGAACATGACAGGAAAAACAAGATGATCTCTGCCTGGGAGATGGGCGTGCTGGTGACTTGTGGTGAAGTCCGTGGGGATGGGTGGCAGCTTGCAGGAGGCCTTTGGGACCCAAAAGACTAAATTGAATAAATATCTAATTTCTATTAGAAGTGGGAGAGCATCTTCCTTAGTGCCTGCTGTAAGCAAATTCTGGGAGATGCCCATCCACCGCCCTGGGAGCAGGGGAGGCAGAGCTGGGTGGGAGCAGAAGACCATGCTGGAGCCTCCTGGGCTCCTTGCTGCAGCTTCACCCAGCCGTCTGCAAACCTGAGTGGGTCTTGGGTCTGTACAACACTCAGTGGGATCAAATGATGTGTTGGAGCCAAACAATACGTGTATAAAAGTTCTTTGTATTTCACCTTTTATATTTGATGTTGTTAGGGTGATGATGGGATCCCTGGGGAACCAGGACTGATGGGCCCTAAGGTATGTTCTGCTCTGTGTCTATCTTGGCAGCATCTTTTACTATCTGGTTTCTTGGCACAGTATCACAACTGGGGCAGGTTGAGAAGCACATTTCTCCCCTGACATGGAAAAAGAACAAAAACAAGGGGTGGGGGGGGAGAGTAGAAAGAGAAGGATAACCCATCCCTCTGCCACAGTAGCTCTGCCCAGATGTTTCCAAACACAACTTGTTGGCAGAGAATTGCCATTTAGAGGCTCCTCTTGCAGAAGCAAATTGGGGGTTTGGCATGTGGGTTTGCAGTGCCCAGATGTAGGGTGCAGTGGGCTCTGCAGGAGCCTTCTCCAACCCCTCTGTTTTTTGAGCTAACTTCATAGCTGAACGTACCACCCGCAACCAAACCGTTAAGCCTAAAAGCTTCATTTTTATCTCAAAAACTCCCCTTTGGCACCTAGGCAACGTGATGTATTTCAGGCTAAAAGCAGAGCTTTGTTCACTCACGTATGTAAAAGTAAAGATAAAGCAAGAAAATTCTGACCTGAAGAAACCTGCTTTCCATCCTACCCATCCAGCATTTATCTAAATCATCTTTGTCTTCAGGGGGAAAAAGGAAGCGCAGGTCCCAAGGGAGAGAATGGCACAGATGGCTTGCCAGGACCCAAGGTAAATACAAGTCCATTAGCTGGGAAGCTGGGCACACTACTGAGGCACAGGGCTTCAGCTGAGTAGGTATTTTAAGCCTTTGCCTTCTAAAAAGCTCATAAAGTGCTCAAAATGAAACAAAATGGGGTTGTTGAGAAGTATTTTACCTTTTCCTGGTGGTTTAATGAAAGCTGGATTCAAGCAGAGATGAGTATAAGAGTTTTTAAAATCATCTCTTTGCATGTTTTTCATTGAAGTGCCTCTTTTTTCCCCCAAAGAACTAAACCTCTGATCACGTTTTGATCATTGGATCGATGGCTGAGGTATCACTTCAAAGCCCAGAGCACTTACGTGCCATCCTGTTCCACTGACCTTCATAACTGCCAAGAAATGCAATCAGACAGTCTCGATACGTCAAGTGGAGATGATGAGACAGCATTCATGGGCTGTTATTTCCCCCCTCAGCTGCTTCTTATTTAGTAGGATCTCCATCCAGTCGTGTTTTCCATCTCAAACAACCCTGGCTCCTTGTTGGGCAGGAAACTGTATATGATGAAGACACGTGGGCTTGGGTGACCCTTAGCCATTGTTATTTTTATTTTCTAAAACCATAGTAGCAGTGCTGATTTATTCCCACTGGGACCTGCTGAATTAAATTTTTACTATGAACAGTCTTTGCATTTATACATTATTTATTTTTTCACTTTTTTGAGAGCTTTAATTTGTTCAGCAGATAGATAATCATGGCTATGGCAAAAGGTATGGTTTTGAATCCTGAATTGAACTGTCAGGATGCTGCAGCTTTCTAAAACTTCCTAACTTTCAAAAAAAAAAAAAGGAGGAAAAAGAAAAAGGGAGGAGGAAAAAAAGGAGGAAAAAAGGAAAAAAAGGGAAAAAAAAGAAAAATTTGGCACAACCCTCTTCCTTAAACTCGCCCTCGAAAATGGTTTAAACGTGTCAGCTGAATCTTTCCACACGCAAATTTCAGCCTAAAGCAAAGAGAGAGCCGTGTGAAACTTCAGCACAAAGAGGCAGAGCTTGGCACGCTCGGAGCAGAGCGCGGAGCCGGAGAGCGGCACGGCACAGGGCACCTCGCCCTTACGGGGAGCTCAGCCCCGAGCAGGTCACTCTGCTGTCTCTGCAGTGAGATGCTTTCTTACTGTCAACTGGCTCCCACCAACCTTGGTTTATTTTGGGTGGGTTTTTTGTTGTTTTGTTGTTGTTTTTTTTTTTCCAAAATATATTTACTTCTGTTTATTTACTTGAGGATGATATTGATATTGATATTGAGGATGTACCAGCGAAAACGGTGGGAAAAACCCAAGGTTGTGAACTCAGGGGGGATCTGGCTGTGGGATGTGAGTTAATGTACTGCAGGTAAAAGCAACCTGGCACAAGTAAATATAGAGAAGTAAATATATTTTGGAAAAAATATAGTCAAAAAACCAGTCAAATCTGTTTTTTCGCTAGGAGAAGCGGTTCCGTGTTGGTGCTGTACTTCTTAATCTAAAACATATCTTGGCATCTCATGTAGTTACAGTGTTTTTAAGATAAATATCCTCTCTTTTCCTTGGTTTCTTTGAACCAAAAATGTAATTTTGATTTTTCAGGGTGAATCTGGTGAGAAAGGAGGAATCGGCTCCATCGGACCCCGGGTATGGATGTTCAGAGTTTTGCTTTTTCAGTTTGGAATCATGTATTTGCCTCGACCTAGGATGTTCCCCACAACCTCCTTCTGCTTAGGATGTGGTTGAATCACCTCAGGATCAGTTCAGTGCTAGAAAATAGAGATGGTGCATATTTAAACAAATCATTTTCATGGAATCCCAGAATTGCCTCGATTGGAAAAGCCCTTTCAGTTTATCGAGTCCAACCATGAACCCAACACTGACAAGTCCCCGACTAACCCATGTCCCTCAGCACTATGTCTACACGACTCTTCAATCCCTCCAGGGATGGGGACTCCACCACTGCCCTGGGCAACCCCTTCAGAACCCTTTCAGGAAAGAAAGAGTTGGACAGAGCCAGAAGGTCTCCCCTCAGCCTCCTTTTCTCCAGGCTCAACAACCCCAGTTCCCTCAGCCAGGAACTCATCACACTTGTGCTCCAGACCCTTCCCCAGCTCTGCTGCCCTTTTCTGTACACGCTCCAGCATCTCCATGTCCTTCTTGGAGTGAGGGGCCCAACACTGAACCCAGCACTCAAGGTGCAGCCTCACTAGTGCCTGGTACATTTTGCAGGAGATAGCTCTGGGAAATGCAGTCAAGTCCCATTTTCTTAGTGTGACCAACCTGTGACCCTTTTTTGTTGTTGTTGTTGTTTTTTGTTTGGTTTGGGTTGTGTTTTGTTTTTTTTTTTTTAAGAAGGAAGCTGTGTATGGGGTAATCAAGTGAAGATTTTGATGCACTTCTTGGTTACACAAATTTGTGTCCTTTTGAGGTCTGGTTGGGTAACAGTTACAGGTGTCAGACTAGGAATTGATTGAATCAATGGCATTTGTAAGGTGATCATCCCTAAACACCTGGGTGTCCGGTCTTTGCTTTCATAGCACCTGCTTCTCTGATGCTGCAAAAACTAAGTAGGTTTCGTCCTCGGTTGCAGGGTCCCCCCGGCCTGAAAGGGGAACAGGGTGACACTGTTGTGATCGACTACGATGGCCGAATCTTGGATGCGCTCAAGGTGAGCCCCACACCAAAGCTGTGCCAGCTCCTGTGGGTTATTGGGAAAGGACTGGAGAACTGCTGAGCTCTGCCATGGTGATGTTGTGGCACTGTGTCTGTCCCTGTCCTACTTCTCCTTCCCGAGATCTCTGTCTCAGCACAGAGCTGGGTTGGGTGGGAAGAACTTACTGCATCTGGGGGCTGAGGATGTTGAGGATGTACCAGCAAAAACGATGGGAAAACCCAAGGTTGTGAACTCAGGGGGATCTGGCTGTGGGATGAGTTAATGTTCTGCAGGTAAAAGCAACCTGGCACAACCTGTGACATATAAACAGCTGATGGAATGAGTGGGATCAGCCAAATTACAGCTTCAAAGCTGCTGGTTACAGGGTGTTGTTCCCATGGCAGTGGGAGTGGTTTTCTCCACAAGCAGCAGTTGGGATGCGGGAGGAAGGGAAATGATGCCCGAGCCCTAACCTGCCTGGCCAAGCAGTGCCTTGTCGTTTTTGTTAAGATGAAAGAAGCTAAATAGAAGAAAAGAAGCCAAATAGAGTAAATCCTTAATTACAGACATATTTGAGACCTATCCTAATTGTTTTCTAACAGGCTGCAGGGATACACAAAGTGGTGGTAATTACTGTTTGCCAGATGTCTGCACGGCATGCGGCTTGTGAGTGGAGTTTGTGGAGTGCGGTGGTTGGAGAGGCTCCATCAAATGTCTGGAGACTTCATCTGCTGGGCCCAGACCCTCTCCTGTGTGCTACATGTGGAGATTGCTGAGGGGCATGTCGTTGAACCTCACTAACTTTGCCATTTTCCTGCTTATTAGCAGTTTTCAGTGTCTGCACACTGACCTGTCTTTGTGAACAGAGCTTTGGAAAGGGGTGGTGGCTTTACACGGCTTCCAGTGTCATTAAATGTGACAGTGTTTGAGTGTGCAGTCATGGAAAAAGGTGCTTGAGGATCTGATACCATTTTGGTTTTCAGCTGAGTGAGACCATGGGTTTTGGTGTTTGAGATAATGTGCAAGTTGCAAAATATTTGTTCATCTCAAGGTGGTTCATGGTCTCCACACCCAGCAGTGCTCAGGAAAAAGAGCTTATTGAAGTGTGCAAGGTTTTCCTGCTGTTAGTGCTCACACAAACTCCTTCATTTCCCCTCTTTAATTGCAGTTCCCTGGCTGGTGGTTGCTGTTTGCAGCAGGATCCTTCTCTCCAGCCTGACTGGAGAGAGGAGAAAGCAAAAAGAGGAACCCAAATTTGGGGCTACACCTCTGGCTAAAGGCATTTTACCTCTTAACCACATGTACCACTGTACGTGGACACTCAACTAGCACCAGTGTTGTCTTTTGCATGAATATCCCCTGGACCAGAGGAGCGTTTGGGATGCTTCTTGCCAGCAAAGCTCATCGTGGTGTTTGGGCAACCATGGGTCACATGAGTGTCTGTTGTAGATCACAGCTGGGAGCTGCTCCCAGCTCATCCCTGGCAGCACAGGGATGCTGTGCCATTTTCCTATTAGCCATGCTCATGCCTGTTTTGTTTGCTGTGTTTCAGGGTTCACCAGGTCCCCCAGGGCCACCGGGCCCCCAAGGTGCTCCAGGTCCCAAGGTAAGCCCATGCAGATGGTGGTGTTTGTGGTCATTAGTGGCTCTCCATGTAGCAAGTGTCTCCTAAGCTAAAATAAGGCAGGCAATGCTGCCTGCGAGACTTGAAGCTACGTGTGGTAGAGGACATGCTATTTAACCCTTCCTCTGGCTGAAAAAGGAGGTTTTCACACAAAAGCCCAAGTTTTGTTGACCTGTGTCCAGCCTCTTTCAGAGGATGCTGTCCCAGAAAGGAGTCCACTCCCAGTCCCACACCTGACAGGTTAAATCCTGGCCCCTCCAAGATGTCCTCCTTGCACGTGGCAGGAGGCACAAGTACACGGGAGAAGCAGTTGTGAGGAGAGGCTGGTGGTCCCAAAGGCTTTGCTGAGCTGCCCTCCATCCCACCGTCCCTGGGTGCTGCTCACTGCCCCAGCACTATGTCCAAGCAGGACCACTCTGTCCTCCCACTGCACAATCATAGAATCATAGAATGGTTTGGGTTGGAAGGGACCTTAAAGCTCATCCAGTTCCAACCCCCCTGCCAGCAGCAGGGACACCTTCCACTAGATCAGGCTGCTCAAAGCCTCATCCAGCCTGGCCTTCAACACTTCCAGGGAGGGGGCATCCACAACTTCCTTGGGCAACCTGTGCCAGTGTCTGACCACCCTCACAGTGAAGAACTTCTTCCTAATATCTAATCTAAACCTCCCCTCTTTCAGTTTAAACTCATTTCCCCTTGTTTTGTCATTAACTGCCCTTATGAAAAGTCCTTCCCCAGCTTTCTTGTAGCCCCTTCAGGTACTGGAAGGCTGCTATAAGATCTCCCTGGAAACTTCTCCAGGCTGAACAGCCCCAAGCAATAGCCAAGAACCTACAGTCAGCTGTAGTTTCTTTAAAAGAAGAATTTAACCTGCAGAAAAGCATCTCTTGGAAGAATGGGATGGGGCAGGATTTCAATGCCTCTCGAGGTCTCCATGTCACCCAAATTTGGATGGTAATGCTGGCACATCACTGAAACCTCCTCGCTGCTGCTGCTCCCGAGCCTGACAATGCCAAACTCATAACTCACAAAAGCTGATAGATGTGAAGAACTCATTTCCTTGCAAAATCCTTTCCCGAGATGATTTCCTGATTTAACTTACCCTGGATTCCCCTTTCTTTGTGTCGCTTCAGGGGGAGCTGGGCTTGCCGGGTCCACCTGGACTGGATGGTGAAAAGGTACGTGGAGCATGGCTGGATCACACGAGATGTTGTAGGAGCCAAGTTAAAAAGGAATTTACTGTGTGTCTGTGAGAGCTGTGGCTGTGAAAAGCAAATCTCAGCCTGCCAGGAACAAGTTCTGCCCCATAATATTCACCTCCTTGAATTAATCACCCATTGCTTACGGCCGCGCTCAGCCGTGAGCGTGCAGATGTTGCTCGTGGTCACATCTGCCGATTAAAGGGACCCCTTTTATGAGGGGTTTGTCAGACACTGTCTCCAATTTAGTTGTAAACCTTCCCAGCCCTCAAAGGCTGCAATCCCTGCTACGGCCCAGCCACATTCTGCTGCGCCAGCAAAATGGGCATATTTAAATTTTAACATGAAAATATGTTTTTGTGAATTTGTGCTGCCATGTGGAGAGAAGCAGCAAAAAGGCAGAAATGGCTGTTGGGGGGGTTTTTTAAAAGAGTTTTCTCCTAACTACTTGTTTTCTGTAAACTTGCAGGGTCCCAAAGGAGCGAAGGGTGACCAGGGCAGCGCAGGGATCACGGGGCAGAAAGGAGAGACGGGAGAAATGGGTTTATCGGGTCCACCGGTACGTCCCTCTCTCTGTCCTTGTACATCTGCTGCTTGGTTCTTTAATGCATCGAGTTCTGCAAGTGCTCAGTATGTGACCAGGTTTGATCTAAGCAATGGCCTGTCAACACCAAACCACTGCGGGGCTGGAGGATGCGGGAGCTTTGGATTTTCTTCGCTAATGATGATGATAACGGCTTAATCAGAAGATGATCTAAGCTGGTAGCAAGGAGAAAATGTTTTCTCACATCCCCTTGGGGATGAAAATGAGATTTGCTTGAGCCAAGGATGGAGTTTAAAGGAAGACAAATGTTTTTTTGGTTTTTTTTCTCTCTTGTTTCTCCTTCCCTGGAAGATGCACCACATCAGGGTTATATTTTTATCTTTTAGGGAGCAGAAGGGCCAAAAGGAGATAAAGGAGAAAAAGGAGACACCGGCTCACCGTGTTTGCAGAATAATCATGTAAGATCCTGGCAATGTAAAGCCTCTTCTGCAAGGTGGGGTCAGGTGAAGTTGGGGTCAGGTGAAGTTGGGGTGTGGCAACCTGGAGCTGCTGGTTCCGTATCCATCAGCGCAGCAGAGGGGACCAAACCCCAACTGTTTTCTACAAAAACTTTCAGCTGCATCTAAATGGGGTTTATTCGCTAGGGAAGAACATCTTGTGCGCTTGTCACCACAAAGTTACTTTAGATTTTGCATTGATGGTTGAGATATGGGATGCTGCTGTCAGAATTAAGTTTTGTTATAAAAACATACTGGGCCCCTTGCAGTTTTATAGGATTTCTGCATCTTTTTTTCCTTTTTCAGGCCTTTTCTTAAAAAAAAAAAAAAAAAAGTGATGAATTTTGATAGTTTTTTATTAATGACATGAGAGCTCTAATTTTGTTCTGTGGGGGGTTTTTTGGGGGGTGCTTTTGTTGTTGGTGGGGTTTTTGTTTTAATTTGTTTTTTTTTAATCAAAAAGGCTGGTTTCCTCTGGTCCGTACAGAAAATTACATCATTTTCCATCACCTCCATTTTGCGACTGGCAAATAACACCGAGTTATGTGGGTCACACCTCTCATCTCAGAGGCTGCCTTGATTCATGTCTTTATTAAGATTCATTTATTTATAAATCCAACGAGCAACTCTTTGATTAGCAGATATTTGGATTAAACCCATTAAATCAGAGGGCATTAAATCATTATTCTGGGCCATGTAAGGTTTCCACTCCCAAACTATGTTTTTCCCTGTGCCCAGCCCCGTTAACGTGCCGTTTAATTCCCTTCTGCAGATCATACCTGAGCCAGGACCCCCTGGACTACCCGGCCCTATGGTAAGACTCTGGAAAGTGGCTTCTGCAATTAGCTGATTTGTTATCTCATGTGATTAGTTCAGGATGAGGGTGGTTTGCTCTGTTTAATTATTGCAAGCTGCTGTGAATCTGGGGAAAAAAATAATGAGGGAAGAGCTACAGTGTCGTGTGTTGTCTTTGGAGAGATGGAAGCACCTGATTTAGGAGAGTCTATCAGCATTTGTGGCATGTTTTGCAAATATTCAAGTTGCTCCTTGAGGTGGGGAGAAGATAAAACCTTATGGGGTGGGAAAACCTGTTCCCTCTGTGATGGTGTTCTGTATTCCCACAAATTTGCCCAAGTCGATAAGTTTTTGCCATCAATTGCAGCAGGAGAGGAAGTGGCTGGTGATGAACACTCAGAGCATTTTTTGATGCAGATATCAAAGGTATTTGGTACTGATGATGCTCCAAAAGGCTGAGGAGCTGTCAAGGGCATCGGGAAGGTCAAGATGCCTCTGATGTGTCCAAGATGCACCTTGAGAGGCCGTGCTTCAAAACCAGGTGGCATTCATAACTCAGGAGGTGTCCCTAGCCCAGCCTGGGCTTAGAGGGCTGTGGTGGCAGGGTGCTGCCCTCCAGAGCTGGCTGTCACTTGCTTCACGAAAGCTCTTCCAATACTTGCTCCCCAAAGCTCTATTACAGCGTTTTATTGTTGTGTGTTACACAAAGCGGTTCCTTTTCAGTTCCTCTTTCCCCCGGATTTGACGTCGGAGAACCAAATAAACTGCCACCTGTCTTGAAAAGAAATATTTGGCCATTGTCAGCTCATAATTTGAGCAAGAAATGGTTTAGGAAGAACAAACTTTGGGGTTTGTTTTTTAAATTCTAGTTTTCAAATGCACCATTGTCTTTCCCGCAGGGTCCTCCAGGAATCCAGGGGCCTAAAGTAAGTCTATAAATTAAATGTCACCCACTGTTTCCAGGCTGCCAGTGCATTATTTACAGGCTCACAAAGGCCTGTCAGCTCTGGGGACTGATTTTTTTGTCACTGTTTGTGACAACACATCCCTTGGTTGTGCTGTTCAGCAGTTGGCGTTTTGGAAGACGAGCTGTTTTTCCTTCCAAACACATTTACGATGTGAAATCCTCCTCCAGCACGGAGGACTGGTGGCATGTGCAAGTCGGGGTTTCCAAACCTTGCAGGTTTAAACCTGTATTTTCAACTATTTTCTTACGTGGTCTGGTCAAGAGGAAAATGTTAACGGCAGCGTGTGAATAAGCATCTCGGAGAGGTGGGAGGAGGCAGCAGATGCGCGGGGTGGAGCTGCTGGGCAGAGCTGCTGGGTCTTCTTCATTGATGTTATTTCATTTATTCAGGGCTTGGATGGTGCAAAGGGAGAAAAAGGTGACAGTGGTGAGAAGGGGGACCAGGGCGACACTGGACCTGCTGTGAGTTGTTTTCCTGATATCTCATTTCTGGCCGTCGACAGAAACCTGCCTGACAGCAACCATCCCTACACCTTGTTTCTTTTTCCCTTAAGGGTCTCCCGGGTGCTCCAGGGCTCATTGGTTTACCCGGTACCAAAGGAGAGAAGGTAATTATCGGTGTGGGAATGGAGTGGTGATGTTGAGGTGTCATCCTAAAATAAAAATAGGGGTGTAAAATTGTGCTGTGGTGAAATGACAGAGCCAGGCTTAGCGGCACTATGCTGATGTGTGGTGAGGAGCAACCTTGAGTCCTTGAGGGGTTGTTGGGTGAGCCTGTGCTGTCACTGCTGTAGTATTTCACCAAATGGATATAAGTGTGCCTGCGACTCAATTTAGCATGTCTTAATTATTATTTTTACAACTGCAGGGAAAGCCGGGGGAGCCAGGATTGGATGTGAGTATGGAAAATGTTAATTATTATGTAGAAACCTGAACAACATGCATGTAAAGGCCATGAAAATGCTTGAGATGGGCAGAAAAATATGTAGCTAACACTGTATAGACTTGTGTCCCTTAAACACGGTGCCCACAGAACCATGTCTGTAGGGAAGGGCTTAATTCAGGCCAGTTCCCAGACCGCTGCCACTGCACAGCGGTAACTGCTCAGCTAAAGATGCTGGAGGGCTTTCTCTTTCCAGTTGAGAATACTTGTATTGGATTCAGTGAAACCAAAAATCTCCAACAGATTTAATATTACTGGGGTAGGTAAAGCACTAGCTTTCCCAAGAATTGCTGAGATACCAAGTCAACAGGAAGGAAATGTCACGTTCTTCACTATGGGAGGGTGGGTTGATCGCTGGAGGCTGCTTATGTTGAACTGAGATGCCGGGACATTTGCACACTCAACTTAATTTTTTTTATTATTTATTTTTTCCCCCCTCTAAAAATTGTGGTGATAGGGTTTCCCAGGTCTCAGAGGAGAGAAAGGAGAGAGAAGTGAAAGAGGCGAGAAGGTGAGTTGGGTTATGGCTGTAGAGATGCTCATGGAGGCAGGACTGGCTGCTCTTTTGGCAGGCAGCGATGCTTGCCCTGGGTGCTGGTTCCCTCTCCAACCTGGCAGCAGTTCTCAGGTCACTGCTGTAAGGTCTTTTTTCTGTGGCACAAGTATTCACATGGCCCCAGTGCAGGGCAGGACACCCAGTTAATTCCTACCCACTTGGAAGTGCTTTCTGCAAACCTGGCCCCTGGCCCCAGCACAACCATTGTGGGGAAATGGAGCAGCCTGACAGCTCAGGGTTGTGAAGAATCACTAGTTTTGGTTTATAGACCTTGAAAATGGATCCAAGGCAAAGGTTTTGCTACAGGGATCCTTAAATAAAAGGGTGCCCTGCTGGAAGCAGGAGTGGCTGGAAGCTGGGAGCTCCCACTTACTGTCAGATACCAACTTGGTTTCTAGCAGAAACCAGTCATTCAGCCATTCTGGTATAAAATCATTTATTAAAATCTCTCTGTCCAGCTTTAACTGAAGATTTTCACAGTGATTTTTAATTAGTCCGTTGAGGTTCCACTAGTGCAAACATCCCTACTCTGGGTGAGGTGTGGGACTCTGCAAGTGCTGTGCGAGTTAAAGTCAAGGTGTTTCCCCTCCAGTTCCTGATATTTTTCCCATTGTGCCAACAGGGTGAGAGAGGAATACCAGGGAGAAAAGGAGCCAAAGGGCAGAAGGGAGAACCAGGCCCTCCTGGACTGGATCAGCCTTGTCCCGTGGTACGTCTTTTATTTCACTCATTCTAAGCGCGCATTGCCGGGACTGAAAGGGGACGCGGCTTTGCAGGCAGAGAAAGGGAGGGGGAGGATTTGGTAGTTCTTTATTTTGCAGTAAATCAGAGCAGATGGTTATTGTTTTCTCACTTTTCTTAATGGTTTGTTTTATCTGCACTGCTGGAAGTTCACTGCTTGCTGTAAGGGCTCCTCTCTGGCCAGATGGGAGCAAGCCACAGCAGTAAAAATAAAGGATCTTTGTGTAAAGACCTTCGTATTGTAGTCGGGAACAATGGGCTTCAGTAATGCTCTTTGGGAGATGATGATGGTGTGCCCTGGTTAAGTTCTTTGGGAGATGATAGTGTGTGCCCTGGTGAAGCTCTTTGGGAGATGATGATGGTGTGCCCTGGTGAAGCTCTTTGGGAGATGATGATGGTGTGCCCTGATGTTGGTGTGCCCTGGTGAAGCTCTTTGGGAGATGTTGGTGTGCCCTGGTGAAGCTCTTTGGGAGATGTTGGTGTGCCCTGGTGAAGCTCTTTGGGAGATGTTGGTGTGCCCTGGTGAAGCTCTTTGGGAGATGTTGGTGTGCCCTGGTGAAGCTCTTTGGGAGATGTTGGTGTGCCCTGGTGAAGCTCTTTGGGAGATGTTGGTGTGCCCTGAAGCTCTTTGGGAGGTAATGATGGTGTGCCCTGGTGAAGCTCTTTGGGAGGTGATGATGGTGTGCCCTGGTGAAGCTCTTTGGGAGATGATGATGGTGTGTGTGCCCTGGTGAAGCTGCTGGTCTGGCTTTTGAGTACATTTGAAATCAGAGAGTAACTCACCGCAGTGGATGGTGATTTAAATGCAAAGTCAACTCAAAAAACCAAGCGAGGGATGAGCCTGACTCTAACTTTCCTGCATGAGGAAGTGGGTTGGAGCTGATAGCATTTTAGTTCTGCCAAAGATCAGTGATGTACGAGCTGGAGCTCCCTGGGCTGCCAAGAAGCACCTCTGAGAGAAGAGACCTCCCCGTGTTTCTCCACCTGAGGTGGCAGCTCGTGGCTCAGATCTGTCCCTTCTCAGACACATCCCGGGCCACCACTGTGCAGTGTGTACACACAGAGGTTTTCCAGGAAACCTCCTGGGTGTCTGAGCCTGAGGAAGGTGAATCTCTCAAGTCTACTTCCAGAAATTCTCATTCCTTTGACAGGGGCCCCCAAAAAACCACCACCAACAAAAAAACCCAAAACCAACCAACCAACCAAATAGAAAACCCCAAACAAACCAAGAACCCTCTACTGGTTTAGAACAAAAACCAACCAACCAAACAAAAAATCCCAAACAAACCAAGAACCCTCTACTGGTTTGTAAGTTACCTGGCCTGGAAAATATTCCTCCTTTCCATTACTAATTTTTCATATAATGACTAAAACCAGAGAGAGCCTTTCCCTAAAATGCTTTGAGGCTACAGGATGAGAGTCAAGATTTATATCAACTATTGAACTTAAAACTACTTAAATGTAGCTGTTAGCCCCTAGTTCAGCTGCACCAAACTAGTAATGACAGGTCCCTGCTTCAACGTGCTCCAAAAAGCTCATTTCTTCTCTAAATGTGTGACTTTTTCTCCCCCTGCCAGCACAGCTGAGGCAATCAGAGCTCCACTCTACCAGTAAAAAACTCATTCAGTCACTATGCGTCATTTTGCTTGGAGACTGAATGGGAACTACAATTAATGATTTAATTTCTGGTGGATTACCTTTCCTCCCTCAACATGCTGGATGATTTAACCTTCATCTTTTTCACTGCGCTGTTACAAATGGGGGAATCTCTGGTTTGTGTACAGAAGATCTTTCCCAGATGACAGATCCTACGTGTCTGTGAATTCCCTACTGTAAAACAACTCTGCTGACTTGCTGTGTCATCAGAAATGGAAGTGTAAAGTTCTGGACCCGTCCTCCTCCTCCTCCACTGAAACATGGGTGTCTGTCTGAGTAACTCCCATGTCCTTTATCATTCTCAACAAGCAGTTATTTTTCCAAACAGGGAGATGATAGCATTGCAGGCAGCAAAGGGGACCCAGGTTTACCAGGCCTGGAGGGGGTGAGCGTACCCTGCCCTTTGGTACAGTATCTGCTCTCTTTCTTTCTTGCATGGCTTGTGTGTGTGTTTCTGCTGTGACCAAGCCCTGTCCTGAGGAGTGAATCCCTCCAGGGAGAGGAAGTACATGAGGCAGTAGAGCTGGAACAAGATGTTTCACTTTGGTGCTCAGAGAAGGATGCTGGTGTGTTGTACCTTCATCCCAGTTAAAACCACTTTAGATAAGGAGTGTAAGCAATGGGAGATCACCTAGGGGATGCCTGCCCCTTTATGATAGAAGATACTAAAAATGAGTTCTAGTTTCTCTCAGCACCTATGGCCCAGTTTGGTTTCCCTTGTGCAATAGTCCAACAATTCTCCAGAAAGGTTCTTGCTCTGTTCCCCAACAGTTCACTGCACAACTAGCTAAAAAGCCATCATTGTTTTATTTTCTTCCTTTTTTTTTTTTAAAAAACCATAGAAAATGCTGCATGTTAGATGATTTGCAGTTGTCTTCAGAGAAACAAAAGGGCAGTAAGCTGTCTCTTTTTTTTCAAAAAGTTAAATTACTTTCATATGCGTTGAAGAAACCAAATACTAGCAGCAGGCGTGCTCCGACTCTCCGTATTTACTCCCTAGAGATGTTTTATTTACCAACTATTTCCCATCTCCACTATATAGAAAACACAAGACCTGTCTGTATGGAAGGCATTATAAACTGCAGTAGGTCATCTCTCCAGTATGGAACTACTACGTGACTAGTTAGTAAAGCACTTGCACATCTTCCCACTTAGGTAGGTGAGGGTTAGTTGCATGTTGGCTGGGAGTGTTGTCTTCGTTCTCCACCCCACCGCGTGGTGGGGGTTTGCTGGGTTCTCAGCGATGGGTTTCACTCTGGGAGCATGAGCCTTACGTGCAGGTTGCAAAGCTCTTTTTAAGTTGACAAGTCATTTTTGAATCACTTTGAAATGTGGTAGAAAGGCGTGGAGTTTTCTGATGGCCAAAATAAGTATTTTGAGTATATGGGAAGGAGAAAAATCCCAGGGCAGCAATCAACCTCATGGCGATAGGTGTTAGGATGCGCTTTAACAACAGGTCAGGATCTTTCTAGGTCACAGAACTGCTCTGCATCTTGTCCCTTTACCCTTCACCCCCAGACAACTCTGAAAAATGTACAAGTTGCTTTTTTTTTTTTTAATGAATAGTTATGGACCAAATATTGACTGGTGTCAGCAGAAAAATGTGTTTTCTCTAACTAAAGTTACAGGAAAGCATGTGAGAACAACTTGACCTGTTACACTACAAGTAGCTGGAGAGGGTAACCTTACTTCACTGCATCTGTTTTATTGGGCATAGGCTATTTTACATATAAAATCAATACAGAATACAAAAAATGTGATGACTGACATTTACAGTAAAAAAAATGTAAAAATGCATGTTGACCTCTATTTTCACTAGCAGTTCTCTCTGCTGCATACATGTCCTCGTGGTTTCCCACCCCTAATTAATTTGGAGGTGGCTCTGAGGGGAAGGGTCAGTGCATGTGTGCTCTCTGTAGCTCTACATGCAGAAATTCATGCAATCAAGAGATCCAAGAGCCTTAAAAAAAAAAATCCAGCATCAGAAAAGGCAGCTGAAATCAGCTAATTCTTCTAAAGTATCTTGACAGAGTTGGTCTCTCATAGTCCATTCCTCTTCTAAGGGGCTTCTTGCTTTTCAGGGTTTTCTTCCTGGTAAGTAAGAAAACTTTCTTCTGCCTTTCTGATTTCTGTTCCTTGTATCTCCATCAGAAAAAGACAAGTATTTTCACTCCCTTTGCATAGTCCTATTTCAGTCAGTTCAGCAATTCAAGATTTCATAGTGAAACTAAGTACTGGGGGATCGGATTTAATACAATTAAGGTATCGTCCAGAAAAAAATAAAAAAAATTAAAAATCACTGCCCCTAGACTGAAAAGCACATATTAACAAAAAATACATTTCGACATCATGCTTTCCATATATGTCTGATTGCAAAATTCACTACCTTATAAAGCAGATTATGACATTAGTTAAGTATGGTTCCAAATTTTTATATTATTTATATTTGTTCACATTTTCTTTTTTGTATAAAGGAAAAAAGCGTAGGTTTATTTTATTGTTTTTACCCTGGAGTGGATTCAAGTTTGTGTTGTGTGTGACACACACACAGATTACATTGCCTGCGTATTTATTTTTGTGCCTATACAGTAAATGGGTTTTGCATGGTAATTAAGGGTGCTGCTAAACTTTTCATTGTTGTGAAGACTGAGCTGCAGGTTTTTGGGTCTGACACTGAAGTCACTGGCAACAGAAATTAAACCTGTAAATTCAATTTTGCAGGGACCAGACGGACTACCAGTAGCAGGATGTTGGCATAAGGTACAGTAATAATAATAATTATATACCCTTGACCAGGTTCTGAGTAATTTTGTTTGCTGCATGGTGATTGTCCTGCTGCACTTCCTTTAAGCAACAGGTTATGTGCCTGGCAGACATCATGTCATGCCTTGGGAGAGCAGAGTTCCATCTAGCTTCGTGTCTTGTTCCCCACAGCTGCAGATTGGTGTTAGGAACACTGGCTAACCATGAAAAAATATTCTCATTAATACTGTCAGTAGCAGTGCTTTTGTTTGGGTTTTTTTTTCAGGTTTGTTTTTTATTCTGGCCCAGGTAGTTTAGGAACCACTCATGCAAAGACTCTACAAAATGTGCCTGTGTGACTTAGACCATACCCTTGAGCTGAGACTTTTACAGCAGGTTAAAACCTCTTTGTCACAGTTACAAAACACAATATTTCCAAACAAAGACTTTTCTGCCCTTGTAATTATAATCCACAACCATTACTCTGCTTTATTGTAATCGGTAAATCAGGGTGCAGGTGGGTCAGGAAATTTTTACTGTCTCACAAAACCAGAACAGCAGACAGGGGTTGTAAGTGCTGAATGCAGCCCAGGAGAATGAGGAGAAACATTTTCCCCCTGCCCATAAGATGAGGATTTGATCCAGATTCATAGGAGGATGGTGTAACCGTGTTCTCTGACAAGGGTATGACACTGAAGCTGAGTGGAATTACTAACCCAGTTTCAAACATGTGGTATGTGGACACAGTTTGAGTTAATAGCAAGCATGTTACTAACTGGTTGCAAAACCCTTGGTTAGAATGCGAGCACGCCCTTAGCGTATGAAAGGTTTTAATTCTGTGGTAAGTTGTTTGGATGTGCTGTTAATATTAAAAGAAATCTGAATGCTAATCCTTATGATATTAATAAGATTAGTAAATATAATGAATGGAGCATTTATCTCTGATTAAAATGTTTGTCTGTGTTCTTTTTCAGTGATCTCTAAGCATGAAGCACAATGTGTAAATAATGTGATATATTTTGATCAATTTTTAAATTTTTGTATAAAAAAAGGAAAAAAAAAAACTTTCAACAGTAATATATTGACCTTTTTTTATACCGGATTCTGTCATTTATGGACTTGGAAAAATATTGTAAAGCTCCCAAAGCTGTAAGATACGCATGGTAACATCAGGATTTGATAAAGGTACCGATGAGGGTAGCTGGGAATGACCAGGATTCACTGCTAACGTCGTGAGACAGCGTGTTGCCTTGTGTGCCTTAACGCCTGGAGGAGGGAGAAATCCCTGTCCTGCTTCAGCTCCCAACTCTGTATTTGCATTGCACGTGCACATTAAAAGGGTGAAAAAACCTGGCTCAAAACAAAGAAGAAAAAAAGGATGCAGCCCTAGAAATGAAAGAAGCTGCTGTGTACCGTCTGGTCAAACAAGAGAAGGATTTGCAACTTGCAGAGGAAACAAAGCCGAGCTCCGTTCATTGCTACCTGCTGATGGAAACAGCAATTCTTTGGCTAAACAGAACGCCCTCGACTATCTGTGGATATTTCCACTACTACCACAAAAAGCTTTTTAGTTTTCTCCAGAGGAAGCACCTCTGGGTCCTGAGCTGGGGTCTGTGGCTGAAGCTGTGCAAGCGTTTTGTTACTGCGGAACCCAAATTCCCCAAGAAACCTCCGCTCCAAAACTGAAACACAAAAACCGAGTAAGACTTTCAGCGTAGACAGCTGCAGGACAGGGAGGGCTCTGCTGAAGTCTGTTCTTAAAGAACAGAGCACATCATGTTGCTGTTGGGGTTCCCAACACTTGGAGTTTGGAGTATTTAATTGTCTTGGTTTGTAGGGTTCATTTGAGTTTGATTTTTTTTTTTCTTGGTTTATGTGGTTTTAATTTTAAACTCTGTAACTCTGCACACTCCTCTTGTCCTCTTCTTCCTCTCCCCTTTTTCAGTCTCTTTCTTTAAATCATCTCATCTTGGGTACATCCCATGCAGAGTAGGGTAATGAATAAAAGGAGGATTATGATTTTGATAACTGCATATGGCATTAAGTGAGAGCAATTAAAAATCTGCAAACTATTTCACTGTTCACATTTTGACAGATGCTGCGAAAAACAGATTGTGCAGTAAAGAGACATAAAAAAATGATTTCAGGGAGGAAGAAAATGGGTTACAGCCAAGTCTGTTCAGCTTACAATGAAGATCAAGAGGCAATCAGATTCCTTTACAAGGAGGAGATACTTTATATTAACAAGTTCTTAAATGGAACAGAAAAAGATATACAAATATCTGTCCAATGGGTAGAAGCTAAAGCTACACAAAATCAAATAAGTAAGCCATGGATTTTTAATGGTGAGACTGGTTAATCCTAACCAGACCAGTGATGTAATCCCCATCACTTTGATGCCTTTTTGATTTAACAGATAACTTCTGGATTAAATACTTCAGTTTTATACAAGTTGCTAGGCTCTGTGTAGGAGTCCTAAGTGAAATAAAGAGCTTGACCACGGTATCAAACCAAATGATATCAGGGCGCTTTGTGACCTTGATCTTAGAAAATACAGAAGAGAGTCATTTTTGGTGCACTGAGTAGATCCAAACCCTCTGTCAGATCCTTGTTCCACTGCATCTCTTACAGCAGCTACTGCCAGAGAGGACTTCAGAGAGGGATGCGACCATCCAAGAGGGATGTGACCATCCAGAGGCCATGTGCCCTGGACAACCTGTCCTAGCACTAAGGTAGTTCTTGTCCTGATATTTTGAAGAACAGCAGGAACATGCTCAGTGCTCCACGCAGGTAGGGTGATGTCTGACTGATGTCTGTGAGTTCATATCTGTGACTGGTGTCCTTAAACTTGTCCTTTTAGTCAGCTGGGAGCACTGGTTATCTGCTGGTCAATGCTGCAATGGCCATCTAGCTTGGTAGATGTGGACACAAAAGACTTAACAGCTGTAGGCAGTGAACTTCTGTTACCTGTCTTTGTTAGCTGCTTAGGGTCTACACCTACACATTGCTTGCTCTGTGGCTACACTTTGCATCTTTACCAGTTACTGACCATTTTTCTTGGTCACCTGTGATAGTTTAACCAAAAACCAGGACAGTCACCATATAGATTAAATCCATGTAAATTCAGATCAACTAACAAATCAAGAAACAAGAATTATGTAACTCAAAACAGCAATGAAAATGCATTTTATTTACTTCCATTTCATGTTGTTAGCTATCACTTTTGGTGTAGGGGTTTTTAAAGGCATAAGGAGCAGTTGAACAAGCTCCCACTGGCTTTTAGTGCTTTTGAAAAACCCCTTTACTGTCCCAAATTAAAGCTAAAAATCTTCTTCTGTGAAGGTTGAAGGCAAATCTCTCATTGATGTCACCGGGAAGAAGATCTGTAATTGTTCCCTTAATGTACAGTTGCTCTTCCCATCTTCCCCCAGTCATCTCCAAACTAAAAGCAATTCACTACTCCAAACCACACTGTGGGCTTCTACAACTCAAATTCCTGCACGTGTCCTGTTCATGGAACCTCTATTGATATCAATGAGAGTTCAGTCCCCAGAATGACTGCAGAAAGCACAAGAATCTGGAAGTGTCCACAAACAATCTACAATGCAGATAGAAAAGTCTTGTTTTACATACGCTGGCAAAAACTAAACAGCTTTCTATCTAGCTCCTACTTGAAGAAGTTTGATATCACTGAAGCTACAAGACAAGCTAACCTCCAAAGCTTATGAAATTATATTAAAATTTATATTTTCTCTGAGGAAATACCCCGAAGTCCTATTATCTTCAGGTAAACAAGTCAGTATTCCGTCTTCAACTTGTGGAATATCCAGTGCTTGTAGGCATCAACTGTGACCACTGCCAGGCCTGCAAAACATTGATACAGAATACCAGAACAGTGCTTTACCTATTGCTCTAACCACTCTGCACGGCAGCCGTCCCCCTCCCAACACAGAGCCTCTGCTGCCACAGAACCCAAGACATTTGTTCGAAACAGAGGAAAAACAGCTCGTTTTGAACCGACTAAACCTCCTCACCGGGGTTGTTCTTCCCCCATCGCCAAGGCACAGCCTGACCACTCGCGGCGTTTCCACACTAGCCAAGGAGGAAGGCCAGAATTATCTTTCACACACAGGACCCCAGCAGTGCTACCACCTCAGCTGCCAAATCTTTTAGTGATCATCTTTGAAAATTCTCAAGGCAAATGCCCTCTCTGCATTGGTTTATTCTGCATCCTGAATATGACAAGGCCAGTATGAACAAAGGAGATCCATCTATGAACCTACGGCAAGTCTGGTATGTTCAGGACATCTGATTTACTGCACGTGTACAGATGGGCAGCCTGTGTGCAGCTCCACTGGACTTCTCGTGTCCATTAGAAATGCTGGCAGGTATGGGTCCTGCTGCATACAGCACCCACTGCCACTTCAGCTACGAGGAGCTAACCAGTAGATCTCTGAGGATCTGCTGGTGGTTATGTCTACTCTACCAACCCATTCTGTCACCAAAGCATCTGAGACCGGTGGAAAGCAGAGCTCCTGGGAACAGAGCAAAGTACAGATCCCTGGGCAAGGATGGATGTGATCTACACTGAAGTCCTTCCTGGTCCTCAGCTGAGATCGGTGTATTTGGCTTTCATATTCTGAACTTTGTGTTCCTTATCCATCCTATCGTGCAGATCAACAGACTGTGTTCAAGGAACTGCTGATTTTCTATCGATGGCACAGTCTAAGAGGAAATCTCTTTGGACTTCCATGTGCTTTCCACACACACATATTTAGAAGAGTAGGTTGTTAAATGCTAAGTTGTTTCAGAGAAGTCAGGATCTTACTGGGAAGAGTTAAAAAAAAGATGTGCTTTGCTCAGCAAATTCATGCCAGATCAGTTGATTATTTTTCTCCTTCCATATGAAAATGTTTATGTGGGTCTTTTTGAATACTTTTGAGTTTGCAAATAGCTCACAAAGATAAATTTTACTTTTAGGTAGTATTCAAAACTCAGTAATTATCTCAGCCTCTTAC